ACGGTTCCTAAATCAGAGATGCCAAAGTTTTAATCTCAGGTTCTGATCCTCAAGACCTAATGACCCAAGAGAAGCCTTGACTGCGACTGCGTAGGTCCGTAAACAAGTATGGTTGAGATGATGAGACATGAGCTTGTTAGGATGAAAATTAAGTTACGAAACCATTTGTCCTAACCTTTCAGTCTAGGGTCATTAACGTTTGACCCCCAAGGAAAGGCAAGACTGGGGTTGCGTAATTTGACATGTCTGGTTTCGTTGATGAGCTTACTCGAACATGTTGGACGAGTGTGAGTGAAGTTAGAACCATCAGCGAGCATACAAATTGAGTCTCCTTCTTTTCGACGGCGGCTCAACACCCTCTCTCTCTTTCAATCTATCAATCAAGCATAAATAGTTCCTACTCAATTTTCTACCACCGTTCTTGATATTCAACTTATTTCTTAAGCTATTAATTTCAATAGCCTCTCTTATCTTTCTTTTAACCACAGACGTGCCATAATCAGCAACCCCACTAGTCTAAGACTATTTTATTTCATGTCCAAGTTCTACCAAATGTTCGGCCACTTCTGACCGTTTGATCCAGCTACTTTTGCAAGCATTTTTGTGTTCTACCAATCTTTGTCTGATAGGTCGACATACCTCACCAACATAACATCGACCACATGAGCAAACAATCTTGTAGCAGCCGGATCTCGATAATGGATCATATTAGAAGAAAGTGTGAGGGTTTCTTTAAACACTGTTTTTATGCCCCATTTCTTCACTAATTCGCCTATCTTTTTTGAGAGAAGGCATGACGACAAAATTAGGGCATGGGAAAAGGTCTCAGTCTGTCTCTTTTTGACTAAATGGTCTCCGTCTGAAAATTTATTTCTCAGTAGAGAGATATTATTATTAATTAGGCCCAACTGATAATTATTTTCCAGGAATATATTTGTCAGCCGTTGCAACTCTTTAGTCAAATATTTGCTATCCACTAGCCTCCTTTGGGCCTTATTGAGAATAATATCTCTCTACTGAGAAATACATTTTCAGACGGAGACCATTTAGTCAAACAAAACAGACTGAGACCTTTTCCCATGCCCTAATTTTGCCGTCATGCCTTCTCTCAAAAAAGATATGCGAATTAGTGAAGAAGTGGGGCATAAAAACAGTGTTCAAAGAAACCCTCACACTTTCTTCTATTATGCCATCTTTTAGAGAGAAATATGACCCATTATCGAGATCGGCTGCTACAAAATTCTTTGTTCATATGTTCGTAACTTAATTTTCATGGAAGTGGGTTGACCTTGTTGTCGCAACTTGGTTTTGTTTTCAGGGAGACCATGTAGAACGCGCCTAGTCCGAAGTCGTCTACCATAGTAGTTGTCATGATTCCCAGCATCCGACAGTGGACTTGATACATTCTCAAACGTTTCGACGGTATCATAGTTGGCATCATCAGTGAGTTTTGCCATTCTCCGCACCAAGCTACGAACTCGTCAAAGAGACAACTGAAGTCAATCCCTCAACAAACGTCTTGTCTCTTTGACGAGTTCGTAGCTTGGTGCGGAGAATTGCAAAACTCACTGATGATGCCAACTATGATACCGTCGAAACGTTTGAGAATGTATCAAGTCCACTGTCGG